GAAAAGTTGGCAGAAAATCCGCTTTTTTATCGACAAATTTTGTTCAGCGATGAGGCTCATTTCTGGTTGAATGGCTTCGTAAATAAGCAAAATTGCCGCATTTGGAGTGAAGAGCAACCAGAAGCCGTTCAAGAACTGCCCATGCATCCCGAAAAATGCACTGTTTGGTGTGGTTTGTACGCTGGTGGAATCATTGGACCGTATTTTTTCAAAGATGCTGTTGGACGCAACGTTACGGTGAATGGCGATCGCTATCGTTCGATGCTAACAAACTTTTTGTTGCCAAAAATGGAAGAACTGAACTTGGTTGACATGTGGTTTCAACAAGATGGCGCTACATGCCACACAGCTCGCGATTCTATGGCCATTTTGAGGGAAAACTTCGGAGAACAATTCATCTCAAGAAATGGACCGGTAAGTTGGCCACCAAGATCATGCGATTTGACGCCTTTAGACTATTTTTTGTGGGGCTACGTCAAGTCTAAAGTCTACAGAAATAAGCCAGCAACTATTCCAGCTTTGGAAGACAACATTTCCGAAGAAATTCGGGCTATTCCGGCCGAAATGCTCGAAAAAGTTGCCCAAAATTGGACTTTCCGAATGGACCACCTAAGACGCAGCCGCGGTCAACATTTAAATGAAATTATCTTCAAAAAGTAAATGTCATGGACCAATCTAACGTTTCAAATAAAGAACCGATGAGATTTTGCAAATTTTATGCGTTTTTTTTAAAAAAAAAGGTATCAAGCTCTTAAAAAATCACCCGTTATAACAAAATGTACAGGCTTGTAAGGGCCAGGTTTTCCAGCGCACGGTTAAAAGTGACTGTGGTTTAAACTTAGTTTAAACGCTCGAGCTAGCAGGTTTAAACCAAGATTATCCTGTCAAGTGACAGACAGCTGTTATATCTGTGGATCACACAATTTATACATTTGTACAGATTTGCGTATTTTCACCGTCACAGAGTGGTGTTGTTTGGAAATCTTTTACTGAGCTACTCTCATTCTCGATAAAAATTTCTAGACAACACCACCCTGTGAGTGCCATATGTACAAATCGGATGAACCCTGCCTAAGTCACAGTTTTTTGTAGGACTTCAATCAAACTTTATATATACATAAAGACATATGTACTCGTATGTATGTACTATATCTTCCAAACCTTGGCTGCCAACGCAAAAATTTTT